CTCGGAGCCTCTGCAAACTCCGAAAACTCACCGAGTGAAGCCGAGGACTTCGCGCCACTTCAGATTCCGGCGCGGCACTGAGGGCTGAAGCTCATGCCCCCTTTCCGGATTCGCAGTCTTCTAAGTCAACTTCCAAGATGTCGGCAGTAGCAAATGTACAGGTTCAGTGGCGTTGACGGAAAATGTGAGCAAGAACCAGAACTGTCCAACCCTAAACCCGAAAGCAAGTCATGGTACCATTAAAATTTTTAAACCATGAACCGCATTGCTGGTTGAAGTTGACATTGTTCTGGTGACCCGTTTCTCCTCTACCAGCACGACAGCCATGACTCTGATAGCCTGGAGGATGAATAAGTTAGCGGCCGTGATACCAGGCATCATTGGATAACTAGTCGCACAAAAATGCCTGACTGAAGCATTGGCTAGCGTGACCAACTAATATGTGGCATCGGGAGCGTGCTGCTTTTGTTTCTATCACAACCGCACACCTGAGTCAATCCTCATGTGCTGCCACACATTTCTGCAGGTACATCATCTGTACATGGAGTTTTCGTTACAAATGTATGCATGGTCGTGTATAATGTAGTATATGGTATTGTACGAGGTAATGTGATGTAATGTACTGTATGTTTGTGTCAGTGTTTATGTGTGCTTGCATGCATGTACGGATGTTTGTAGTAATTTGTCTATGTAGCCGGATTGATGGATAGATGGACAGATAGACTGATAGATAGGACGGGTTAGACTGATAAGAGAGCTTAGTTGAGAGTAGACTTGGATCCACATATTGAGAATTACATGAAGGTTTAGATATTAGGTAGATCAGGATAGATTAGTTTAGGCAGATTAGGGTAGGTGTGAGCTAGCTTTGGTGAGGTTAGATAGATAGTTCTGAGCACATTCGGATCCAAAGTTCCTTCACCCCCCTAAACGAAACCCGAACACCAAAGGCCCAAGCCATAAAAAGCTATGGGTTTTCTCCGAGAAGAGAAGATGCCAAGGCCCTGCAGTTCCCTGCGAGCCTGGCAGCCTTCATGGGCCCCTGACCTGCAGCATCAGGGCCCTTCCTTTAGTGCTAGGTTAGACTTAAGTTCACAGGCCCTAAACCGCGTCAGGATTCTGGGAGGAGTGGAGAAGTATATTATAGTAGATTGTCGTCTATTTGTAGTACAATACACTTGCAGCTTTTGGTGTACATGCGCGGAAACTGGCCATGAACAAGCGCAATGGCCAAAGCCCGTCGGCATGATAAGGCAGTGCACCCGCATGCAAAGCTATGCGCGAAAGTTGAGTCTTTGAAAAAGACAGCACACAAGTGTGTGTGAGTGTGTGTGTACTTCAATCGCAAGCATCAGAGACCCGTCACGAAAATTACATGCTGCAGGTTTGCGAAGATTTTCCGTGCTCCATTTTCAGTTGTGCTAGAACTGAGGCTATCCCATTCCCATCCAGCACGAGGTCCCGGTATGTTTGTTGAGCCGCAGTCATAGATGGACACTCATCCCGCTCCGGGTAGCCTGTGTCGAATTCTGCTCTATGGATCTGTCTCGCTGCACCTGATGTGACGAGCAGCGTGTACTGAACTGTCCAAATGTAACGATATAACGCTGAACATGTGGAAATCCTGGGTTGCCTAGAAACGTATAGTCTTCATTCCCTGATAAATAAATGGCAGGATAATGCCCACATTGACCCGCTTGCTTGGCCCACTGATCCCCAAGCCTTTCCATAAAACAAGTGCAGACACGATGTTTTTCTCGTTATAAGCACTGTGAAGAACCTTGAGTCTCCGGACTCCTGAGTGAGAACTTCGGCTCAGCTGGGAGGATCCGCTTCTCACCCTGTCGTCGAAATTGGAAGCCAGGTCCTTGGCAAGCCTTGGGACACAGGTTGTTTAGGGTTGTTGCAATTGTTGTTTTGTCGATGCTGCAGCTGCGTGGCCACAGCAGTTCAGGCGTGTTTGTGTTATGATGTGTTTGGCAGCTCTTTTTTCTTATCATGGTATCGAGGCTACTTGCATGCAATTTCATGGGAGTTGCACAGAAGGACATTCTAACTTTGTAGCCTGGCGAATGTTTGCTGCTACGTAGGCTCACGCTGTTGTTGCTCACCTTGCTGCTGATGCTGACCTTGGCTGCTCACATTACAGGCAGTTGCTTATGCCGGCCTCTAAACTTGTCTGCACAGTTCAGTGACCTGCGCAAGAATTACTTGCAGATGCTTGACACATGCGGACGCCAGGCCTGCTAATTTCGCTTCCCCGGGTGATGCTGTAAATGTAGAGCTAGAAGACACTCAGGCATCTCTTCCGTTTATACTTGCGGTTGGCTGCAGACTCTGGAGAGCCCGATGGAACAGCCTATGTGACCAGGTGACATTGCACAGGCCAAGTTACACTGCTGTACCGACGAAGAGGCTCAAGTCGCCCTGCGTCTAGCGAACATCCCAGCCACAGGCAGGCAGTCGTCAACAAGCCAACAGCCCTAAAGTCCTTGAAGGCCAAGCCTACACTTTGCCGGCCGTCCCCGTAGCCTGAAACTCCAAACTTTCATGTTACCACATGTTTACATCCTGAAGCCTCAAATCCGAAAATCCTGAGCTCAAACCCTACCCCTTCAAAACCCAAGGCCGGAAAGATCCTTTAAGCACTTACAAGCCCCAAGCTCAGAAAATCCTCAAACTCTGAAACCAGGAGGCCTTAAACCATGAAGCCGTAAACACCAACACCCTAAAACGACAAACCCCGAACTTCACCAACTCTCCATGGCTGTGTGCCGCCACGGATCCTATGCGGGGCGCTGCACGGCACCCACTTTATGGCCCCTGATGGAGCCCCGTCTTCTTTCGTTGATTTTCAATGATTTTTTGAATATGCTTTTGGCAGGGATGAAGCCACAAGGTTGTTTTGCACATCGAAAAAGGCCTCTGGGGGTTCAAGGTTCAGAGTTCGGGATATACTGTGGGTTGGGCTGTAGCGGTTCATATAACAGGAGAGAGAGGGAGACACAGTGAGAGACAGAGATAGAGGCGCTAGGGGGTTGAAAGCCTGCAAGCTCGTCGCACCACCAAACGACAAAGACAACCACTGCTGGCCCCGAAAGGCCACTAGACCTGAGCACCCAAACGCAGAACCACCCCTCAACTCATAACCTCAAACAATCAGCTCCTCAACAAACCCTACCTATAGTCTCCATTGTAGTTCCTTTTTGGGGATCACCTTATAGGATCCTTATTATATAATTGGTTAAACCAAAAAAGGACCTACAATGGAGACTACAGGTAAACCCTAAACCTCCAATCCCAAGGGCCCGACCCCTAGAGCCCAAGGCCCGTACTCTGCACTCTCCGCAGGAGAAGTCTTGGAACAGCAGATCTTCGGCTTCGATGAGAGCGGCGAGCCCGAGTCCTGTGTGGTGACATGGCTTTCAGAGGCTTTAGGATGCATGGTTTGGGGTTTTATATGCTCTTGGATGAAGGGAGGGCTGGTGGCCTTAACACTTGTTGCTGGTGTTGTTGGGTTTGGGATGTGGAGCACAGGGTTTGCTACCTTGGGATGTCGGCCACTGCAGGCTTCCCAGGCAACCATCTTTCCGCCTGGTCCTCCAAAACCGGAGCTACACAAGCTTGTTCAAAGGTTGGCCGTTTCAGAAAGTGTCGGGTCGTAACATCGACACCAAGACACGTCGCCAAATGTTAAGTCATCCGCAGTTGGCGTGGCTTTTGCCACGAACTCCGCTTCATATAGACCGTCATATCCATCACTCACCCACCTACAGCTCTCTTTGGATTAACATTGGCTTTAGGGTTGAGTGTAACAGCTTGAGTGCTTGCAGACGCAGGATATGGGTAAGGCCTTGATCATTGGAGCAGAAACATAAGAAAGAGGCGCTCATCTGGCATTCTGAGTGCTCTAGCTAACTTGTCATGCTCCTTCACGGATCAGGGCTGTCGCATGAAAGGTCTCGGGAGGGCTAGAAATATTATAAACCCTAGACTGAGATTCCGGCCCGAACCCCCAGTTCCATCTACAACCTGCTGGACGTAGCATGGAGCTTCTGGCCCTGTAAACTCGCAATTCGAACGAGAGCCGCACACTCGCTCCCGTTCTAGATGTGGTATGTGTTTTAGAGCTCTCCTAAAGCCGAATAGCAGAAGAGTTTCGGCCGACACGAAAATAGTGATCGCAGCAATACTTGCCGCAGCAGTACTGCAAACATGACGTCTGCAACGCGAGCCTCTTAGCGAGGTTGCGCGTCACTCGTTTCCGCTTCTCTCTGCAGCTGCGCTGTGGAAGGCTCAGCGCTAAAGCTTAAATCTTGGCATGAAGTTTTGCCTATACTCTGGAGTGAAACTCTTGGCTATCCAAACTAATGCTTAGTTTCGGGGCTAGAGTATATTCAGCCTCTAACAAATAGGATCCTGACCGAACGTTTGGTTAGAGTTGGTACAATCCTTGCAATGTATAACCCTCACAACCTGCATAAACCGCTCGGCTTAAACAGTCGAATGGGAGCCGCGGTAAGGAATACAGGGGCTGGAACAACTGGCAATAGTATCTGCTTGTAGTCGCCGTACCATAAAGTACACCAAACGTAGACTCAGTCTCGAGCCTGGAGCTCGGTGTGGTGAGGCTTTACTATCGGACAAAGGATTGACACAAGGCCTTCGTGTTCAAACTCAGCCGCACCAAATCTTTTTGTTCATCAACATGCTGGTTTCAACCTCTGGGCAAGTATAACTTCCCGACTGCAGCACCACGGCAAGTATCCAAACTCGGCTAATCTACGAATAGCCCCTATCATTAGGATCTGCTGATGATCACCATGACCATGGCAGTGAGCCTTTGAAGAAGTTATTACATGATGTGTAACCATGATGGTACAAGAGTCGCAACAAGATCCGTAAGCCGGAAATCTTTCCCCACACCTTTGTGTCTGGTCAGAGATTACTTGCCTTTCCTTGAAAGAAGCAACACAGACAAAACAGCGATGGGCCCTGAGATGTGCTGTGATCCACTGCGCTACGACGGATTTGGGAGTAGCAGCTGCTTCCCGGAGCCCATGGGAACGGAGGGCTTTGTCAGACCCAAGGGAAGTTTTGGGTGTATACTTCTACTTAAGGCTTTCTAGGAATTTTCAGGGATTTAGTTTAAGGTTTCTTCTCGGTTGCATTTTCTTGTTAAATGTCTTCCAGGATCCTGAGCACAGTGTCGGCTGATGGAATCGTCCACGTGGTAGAAGATGGCATTGGGATGCAACCTGTATGTATACATATGCAGGGGCATATACATTGAAGCGTAGACATATACCTTGCTCATTTACGTTGCGCAATTCGCCTTGTGTATGAACCTGCTATGTACATGCACCTGTAAAAAGCATGCACACATGCACAGGCACGTGCACGCACAAAGGCATACTCGAATACATATCCATTAAATCAGAATTCAGCCATGTACTCACAGATACATACATACGGACATACGTGCTTATTTACTTGTTACTTAATATGTACGTGCATACATACACATGTAGACACAGGCCGACAAGCATAGATACATACATGCATACACAGACGGATGTGTCTATCTACATATTACACATATACATACATGCGTGTGTATACATAATATGTACGATATATATATATATATATATATACACACACACATATATATATATATATATACACATATGGTTACATATACATATACATATATATATATAGATATATGTAAAGGTGCATAAATGAGGCTGTCAGCCATGGGCTACAGAGCTTGAGGGTTCAAAGCTCTGGTCTGACTGATTAGACTTCGAAGTTCACGGGGCCTTATGGCTTTGGATCTCTGAGACTATTGAACCCTCGATGCAGTAACCAAGGTATACTCCTCATTTATCGGATAGTGAGGTTACAGAACAGCTTGATAAGGGCCGATTAGGGTTAGGGGTTTAGCTCTCAACCTTGAGGTGTGTTTCCTTGGGGCTTGGCAGGCTTGTTGTAGCCTTTCGGGTGTGAGTCTGACCAGAGCTGGCAGTCGCCGTGCAGGAGCTGCAGGGCTGGCATGCGAGGCTTTGCTGCTCGGGCCTCCAGGCTCGAAGACAGGCTGCAACATTCGCCGAATGTGTCAGGAAAGACTCAAACGGGTGATAGAAGGGTATGTTTTAATTACGCCAGAATTTGCTAGCCTGAGGGTCTCCGCTGATGCTGTTGGGGCGTCGCTTGGGCAGTCCGGCAATGACTTGTGCTCACACATGGAAACCTCTTCCGGTGCTGGAGTTGCTCTTGCTGTACTCCAGGAGCCGGCGAACATCATCCCTGACCTTTGGGCATCGCTGTCGGATGGGACTCTGCAACCACAGCAGCAGTACATTGGAGGCACTCGCAACGCATGCTTTGTTTCACTATTGCCCATGTCGTGTTTCGTGTTCGTGTTGCAGAAATTGGTGCGGTGTTGAAGATTGCCCCTGGACGAAGGATTGATTATAACTCTGGGCTTTTGTAGGCATTTGGGGTTCAGGATTTAGTGTCTTGGCTGCTGTGAGGTAGCCCTTTACAAAGCCAAGAGCATGGAGGCTACAACTCCCAAATCGTCTTGCACCTCTCAACGGCGCCCTCATCAGAAACCCGAATTACTTTCCGCATTGTTACCCTTCTCTTTCCACGTGCTCCGACAGGAAACAACAGAATTCCAGTATTGTCTCAATACTAAAGGATACCATCGAGAGCCGACTGAAAACATTTGGTTCCTCGGAAGCGATCTTGACTTCGTAAGTCTACTTGGTACTCCTTATGCCCGCAGGAACGGAATCCATAGCCCATCTTGCTCCTACCCTACACCCTGAGACCCCCAAACCGTAAACAACATGAGTCAAAAGAAAGCTCCAGCAGGGGGAGTCGTACAAGTTTAGGGTTGAGGGGACAAACTACCCCGTACGAACTATCGCGGCAAAAGGCTACTGTGGCCAGCCTTCCAGGTCGTTTCGGTGACGTATAGGGTCTTTGCACTTGGAGACCTGCTGCACTGCCAACTAGGTTATGAGAACCCTGCAGATATTCGGCTCGTGTCGATCCGGCAAGGGGTCAGGCAAAACTGGGGTTCGCCTGCGGGCTCTCCTGTAGAATCCTGCCATGAATTGTCTCTGTTGCGGGTTGGACGAGAGCTCCAAGTATGAAGTCAAACCTGACAGCTTGATCCAGTTGATCCCGAGCCTGGATGCACAATGGTGTACAAATGCTCCAGATATGGAGCTGGCGAAGTCCATTGATGCAGTTCCACATGCGGCCGATACAGACTGGGCAGCGGAAGTTCCGATCAACCGCCGGGTGCAATCATCCGAGAGCATGGAGGATTGGCCAGAACCTCAAGTGTCAGGGGTAACACTGACCTTTCGCAAGCCGAACGGTGGGCACACCGATGTCTACTTCGAGTCAAGACCCTTGGGGCTTCGCTTCTCCGATACGATGCCTTTGACTGTCACACATGTTAGCTCGGACTATGAGAACATAGCCAGAGTCAATCTTAAGTGGGTCGTGACACACGTGAACAAAGTCCCACTGCCACATTCCATTCGCGCTGCTAACACTATGGTCCGTGACGCAGTCAGCCAGATGCCGCGTCTAACACGGCAGAAGTCAGATTACTCGGCCGTGGAGGTGGTGCAGCCCGCAGAGCAGCGAGACCGACTTTCTCCGTGGTCTGCGAGGAAGTTTTCCCAAGCCTTGTTGGACAGCCTGCCCAGGGGCACGTCCACAGAGGCAAACCTCAGGACCTTCATCCGGAAGAACAGTGGTGCTTAATATGAGAGCGTGACTAATCGTCAAGACACTGTCAAGACTATTCAGCCGAATCAGGTTCCTTATGCTGGCAGTAGAAGATACGACTAAGCCCTATTCTAATTTTTAGGTCCCCTACATGAAGTTGTATGAAGTTGTCCCAGCTTTGGGCGAGCATGATGTGAACCTGTGGGATTTTCGGGCGAGTACCAGTGAGGACCAGCAGTCAGCTAATCTGACTCTTAGCTACCTTATTAAGCTTGTTAATACAAGCGAACCAATATTTTCCAAGCTGTTGTGTAGGATACCTCCAGATCCCTGCTTGGATTTGGCGGCCGGACTAGCAAGACTGCCAATTTGCCTGGCAGTACCTGCATACGAAAAGAAGGTTTTGTTCATATGAACGTGCATGAAGCATTTAGGGGCCTAACTTGCATTAGTGAATTTTAGTGACTTAGGACCAAACACATGTCTTTGCAGACGAGGATCTATCCCAGATTTGTGAACCTACCCCGACGGGCCCCCAACAAACTGACCTTGTTCCCAGCCGCTAGTGTCAGACCTTGCCCAGGGCTTGGCGAGTTGCATGATACATATTCGATTCCACACCAGCGATACATACTTCCCCGTACTCAGCGCCTTGGGATGCTAGGAGAGGAAGCAGGAGCTCAAGACAACCATGTAAACCCTGGCCATGTCCGAACATTCCACAAAAGCCGAAAGTGTAGCAATGCCGCGTCTGAGGCCAAGCAGATGGATGAACGCTACCCGCGGCCTTGTCAGCAAAAGCCCCCGATCAATCCCTTCCTCAACGACCCTGACTTAGAACCCCTAAGGTTCACAGTAACCACCCCAGAGAATGGATATGAAATTGGTATTAGAAGTTGCAAAATCTCAAGAAGGCCGTAACTGAGATTTCTTGCTTTCTTGCAGATCTACCCGAGGCCTACTGTTCGTGACCTACCACAAGTCTGGCACGACGCCCCTCCGGCCTTGTGTGTTGATTGAGAGTTTCTAGTAAGGGGGCTAGATGAGTCGGAAGGAAAGGTTTGTTTGAAGTTTCGCAGGGCATTGGACGAGAGCAGCAAGAACCAGCACGGTAGTGGTCGTATGGGCAATGTTACCAACAACATGCCACGACTGCGCTGTTGGGCATCGCGGATTTCGCAAGACTCGGATGCCGATAGTCCTTATTGACATTGGGGCTTTCTCTGGGACCATGATGCCCTAGAAGGCCAGCTTTGATCAAGATTTCCCACTCCGCAAGGACCGATTTTCCCTAAACTTTAAAATACCTAAGTATTAAGGCCCCTATCTTATAGTACCCTTATAATTATAGATCCCTTGTCGTAACCCTCATAAAGATCCCTTGAAAGAGAACCTCGTCTGGTTTCTTGAGGCTCTCCTTGGCGCTTCAAAGCTCAGCGCATCTTCGAAGGTGGGTTCTGGGCAGCGAAGGCCCGGAGACTCACCTAGGGTTTAGGGGCTTAGGGTTTAGGGGCTCAGGGTTTAGGGCTAGGGGTTGTTTTACTGGGTTCGGGTTTAAGTTTAGGGCGCGTTTCGAGGGTTTTGAGGGGTTGGTCAAGATGGGTTTAGCACAGTTTAGGGTTTAGAGGGTGGGGATGGGTGGGGCTCCAGACATATTGAAAACAAGAGTTTCGGCTTTGTTGTTTAAGGGGAGATCGGTTCGGTTGCTCAAGGCTTTGGAGCTGCGGTTGTTTACCCCTTCTTTCCAAAAAGAAAGATCAGAGGCGGTTGTGAAGATCGGCCAGGAGTTGCTGCGCATGCTCGAGAAATCCCATTAAGACTTCTGCGGGGACAAAGGCCCCAAAAACCTGCCGAGCTGTCGTCTCACGTTTGTCGGCTCATCCGTTGCTTCGGTACTAGTTAAGAGACCCGTGTCTTACGTGCCCGTCAGGTTCGGTTTCGGGTGGAAGGTTGGAGCTGTCTGTTGTGGTTTTAGAGTTCGGTTTTGGGTGTTGGTGCCGTCCTGAGGCCCTAATTGCCGAAACGGGGCAGTGTCCACGTTTGATGATATCAATCCTGCATAACCTTAAGGACCCTAGACTGGTAATTTCGGTACATTCCTTATCATGGGTAGTGCAGGATTTATATCATCAACCGTAGCCGTAGCTTTTCAGCGGAGCACCCAGCATTTTCTCATCCAGGCCTGGCAGACGCTGGAGACGGCGACTGGCTTCGCACTCTCTGGAAGCTTCTCCTTCAACTTCTTTTTGCTTGAGAGGTCGACGAAAAAAAGAACGGGGGCTGAATCCTAGACCTTGTACTCTTAAACTAACAAGCAATAAAGTGGCAATTCATCAGTCGTGGGGTCATCGTAGTTTCGGCAGCAAAAAGCAGATGCAGCAGAAGCAGAAGCAGACACAGTAACGGTGGAAGTAGCAGTAGCAGATGCATCAGTAGTAGTGGTAGGAGGAGCAGGAGGTAGAGAAAGAGCAGGAGGGTGGAAAGCACGAAGCCACAGGATGTGGGATAACAGGAGTATAGGTCAGCAGTAGTTACCGTCGTCGCTGGCTGCAGTTGAGAATTTTTCCGTCGTCGTCTTCGTTGTCGTCGTTGTTGTTGCTCCTGCTGCTGCGTTGGCCTTGGGCAACAAAGCTCCCGCGCTGCCATGTAAGGACTCGAACGAGCCCTGGGTTCCAGCGCGGCATGCACCAGTACCAGGTGTTGGAGGGTTTCGCGGTTGTGGGCCCTGAAGCTTGCTCGACAGTTCCCGCTGAGGTCGCGGGATGCCGAAGGTTTCAGGTTCCGGAAATACTGTCACATGCTACAGATTTAGGTGCCATTTCAGTCTTATCACATCCCTTAAATCTAATGGCCTACTCCTGCTAGGGACCGTGAAGAATCCCCTAACAAAGCTGCCTCAGACCTTGAAAATTGCTTCGTGCCAGCCTGGAAAGGTAGAATCATGAGGTGGCAGCAACTATGACGGTGGTAGTAGGAACTCGCAGCTCCGGTAAAACACAGCCTTTTTAATTCGGTGTGTGTTCCATGTGCACACGGTCTGACGAGATAGTGAAGACATCCTAAGCCACGTTTTCAACTCCCAGCCATGAGAGCCTGGCTAGATCCACTTCCAGCGTCAGGAGCTGCCCTGCATGCTTAATCTGCTTTTATCCGACACCTTGAAACTGTTCTGCCGCAGACGCGACGCGGGCGGCTGGTTCTGATGATCTCGCCCAATGAGATGGTGGAACCTGAGGTGGCTCAAAGAATAGTAGTAGTAGTAGTAGTAGTAGTAGTAGTAGTAGTAGTAGTAGTAGTAGTAGTAGTAGTAGTAGTAGTAGTAGTAGTAGTAGTAGTAGTAGTAGTAGTAGTAGTAGTAGTAGTAGTAGTAGTAGTAGTAGTAGTAGTAGTAGTAGTAGTAGTAGTAGTAGTAGTAGTAGTAGTAGTAGTAGTAGTAGTAGTAGTAGTAGTAGTAGTAGTAGTAGTAGTAGTAGTAGTAGTAGTAGTAGTAGTAGTAGTATAGTAGTAGTAGTAGTAGTAGTAGTAGTAGTAGTAGTAGTAGTAGCAGTAGCAGTAGTAGTAGTAGTAGTAGTAGTAGTAGTAGTAGTAGTCGTAGTAGTAGTAGGTAGTGGTAGTAGTAGTGGTAGTAGTAGCAGTAGTACTACTAGTGGTAGTAGTAGTGGTAGTGGTAGTGGTAGTGGTAGTGGGAGCAGCAGGAGTAGTGGTACTAGTCGTAGTGGTAGTAGTAGTGGTAGTGGTGGCAGGAGAAACAGCAGCAGGAGTCGTTGTAGTAGTAAGAGTAGCAGCAGTGGTGGAATGAATGGTAGCAGCAGCAGCAGTAGTAGTGGTAGCAAGGAGCAAGTAGCAACTAACAAGTAGTAAGTAGTAACTAGTATGTAGTAGATGGTATGTGGTAAGTTGGGTAGTAACTAGCAAGTGGTGAGCAGCAGGCAGTAAGCAGCAAGTTACAGGCTATAAGTATTAAGTGTTAACTGAGTGGTGGGTAATCAGTAGTGGGTGGTAAGTAGTTAGTAGGTGGTAGTTCGTAGAAAGTAGTTAGTAGAAAGTAGTTAGTAGTTAGTAGCTCGTAGTAGTTAGTGGTAAGGACTTTGTAGCATGTAGGTAGCATGAGTAATTGTGCCAGTCTTAGTATCAGCATTAGTACTAGCAGCAGTAGTAGTAGCAGTAGCAGCAGCAGTAGCAGTAGTAGCAGTAGTAGCAGCAGCAGTAGTAGCAGCAGGAGTAGTAGTCGTAGTAGTAGCTCAGCACAGGAAGTTCAACGACTCGTTTCTAACAAGGTTTCGAGATTGCGTTTGCACTGTCGATTCGGCTATCCCGACTTTGGTACAGAGCCAAATAGTGTCAGTGCGGTTGTGGAGTTTGTTCAGTGCCAACTTTGCTTTTTGTGGAACCTTTCGTGGCTTGGCACCGCTGTTTCGACTAGACTTGCAGGCAGGTGACCCACAGCATTCAAGGTGGATTCGAGGGATGAACTCCATGCGTCTAAGCCTTAACTCATATAATATCATGCTTCTGTTGTTTTTTATCATCTCCCTGTCTTCCTGAGATTCACGACCTGATTCTGGAGGGTCGCGTGCCTTGGCTGACCCCGGGTAAGCTTTTCGAGTGGTGGAGCCCCAGGCCCAGGGGTCTATGAAGGCTGGAGGACCCGAGTGGACGTAGCAAGGTAACCGGGTATTCTAGAAACAGTGATTGACATTCAGTAGTCATGTTAGATTCCCAGCTGATGATGGCATAGAGCCTGGGTTGACAAAGTCAGAGCAATGGAAATCTTGAAACTGAGAGGAATCTGGCCATTCAAGTTGTAAAACATTGCACGATTCCTTCCGGCTGTAAGGCCAAGCTTGTGCACGTGGTACGCAAGCCCACCGAGCTACTCGTGCTTGGTCCTCGGATTGTTCATTGGCCTGCTTTGCAAACTTTGCGACGGCTTGCAAGATAGACCAGGGACAAACAGCACTCACAATTAGATTCGTCGGAGAAGCCCAGCACGCTTCTGGACTTCTGATGCCGCCCACATGAATGGCCGTTATGATTCTGAGAATCATGTTAATGCAAGATACAGCAATATGAGTGGCAAGAACAGTCATACCGAGTTGCGCTGGGAAGACACTGTTGTGATCAGGTCCGGCTACCTGTACCACCTCTGGGCTTACAAGGAGCCCTGGGCCAGGACCGCAGCAGAGCTGTTTCTTCTTGCTATTCTTTTTTGCCAGTACAGCAATATCTAACCATCTAAGTATAATGAATTAAAGTCTCTACATTTAGATATTGCTGAAATTACTTACTAGTGGTGTGTTAATCATGATACTTTTTTTTGTATCATTCTGAGTACTTCCAGACCCTTTCAGGATTCGGGAACTCTTGGCTTCAAGGGTCTCGGCTTCGGTGCTCGGGGCTTTGTTTAGGGCGTAGGATTTTGGCTTTGGGGTTTAGGACCTAGGCTTTAGGGCCTAGGGCTTGTACAGCGACAGAGGCCGATAAGATGACGGCCTGTTTGGTGTTCTTGCTTCCTGCAGCCGTGTGCTTGCCTGGTGTGTTTTGAGCCTTACGGACTATCCCGGAAAGTCGAATAGCTCACTCGAAAAACTTTCGACGCTGTGAGATCGTTAAGGTCCCACCCATAAGCAACTTAGGATAGGGATATCCCAAAGAACCCCCTGACAATGAAGCCCGATAAGGTAGGGACATCCCGACAAAATGCTTCTGCCTATGTGATTTTTAAGGCACCTTCTATGGCCTGCCTCAGCCCGAGATCATTTAGGTCTGTTGTTCTCCATAGTTAAGTGTCCCGGAGCATTCCCTGAGGGAAAACTACGGTATGGGAATTCCAGCGGTAATCATTTTCAATCCGTGTTCCAAGTTGTGGGAGTACTGCCAGACCTTCGAAACCCTAAGGCCCTAAGCGCAAAGAATCTCTGAACCCGCCTGAGCCCGACGCCCGATGAACCCTCTATTCTAGGGGCTTCAATCATTTCCTATACTATCTTTTTTTTTTTTTTTGGGGGGGGGGGTCCTTACTATAATTACCCTATTCTAAGTAGTAAGGCCCCTGTATTAAGGCCTGAGCCCCATGACATTCCCAAGCCTTGGAGTTCCAGGCTACCCCGGCCTCCTTCTTGCAACAACTGTGACCACGGCGCCTGGAGGCAGCAGATGTTGTTCCCAGGGTTGCATTCTTGGCGTCTTAGGGTTTACGGACGACTTTGGTGTCTCAATCATCATAAAAGAATCCTATTTTCAGGGTTTGCATTCGGCGGTCCTTCATGACCTGGTATATGTTGACATATTTATGCTCATATTGGGCTTAGGACCTCTGAGTCATGTTTAGGCTGCTGGGTTCAGGATTTGGGATAGTCGGCTTTGATTGAAGGTTCCTGCCGGGAGGAGCGACACCTTCCAACCTCATGAGACCGTTGGGCCTTAACGGCCAGAAACTGCTTTGTTATTGTCTGATTGCCATCGTGTCCCCCCTTCTCTGTATATATATATATATATATATATATATATGGTCACCCCCCCCCCCATGACAGACCATGCCCTTTCGACTCAGTCGTAGTGCATGGTCTGTGATCGGGGGGAGGGGGCACTCAGCTTTCAAAGCCTCTCCAATTTCCAAAATTTCCAAAATTCTCTCCCCTAACTTTCCGGATTTCCAAAATTTCCAAAATTTCCAAAATTTCCGAAATTTCCAAAATTTCCAAAATTTCCAAAAAGTCCGCCCTTATGTTTTGGAAAAATCCTGTCGACTAGGTCGAAATTTTGGAAATTTTGGAAATTTTGGAAATTTTGGAAATTTTGGAAATTTTGGAAATTTTGGAAATTTTGGAAATTTTGGAAATTTTGGAAATGCGGAAAGTTAGGGGAGAGAATTTTGGAAATTTTGGAAATTTTGGAAATGCTGGAATCTGTTCTATATATGACTCAAGTAAGATTACTGTGTAGTGCTTACTATGTAGTGTATCAGCACAACCCTCATCCATACACGTGTGCTCTGTAATTCCTTTCTTGGTAGGACACCCGCGCGCCTTGTCGTGCTAGTCTCCGCATCGGACCAGATTACTTGCAAAGGCAAGGGCTGTCAATACTCATGCCCATATTTACACGAATATCTCTCTATCTATCTGTATATCTATATATACATATATGTATTGATACTCCTACATATAGTATTGCCATTGAACATACTGACATTGATCATTTGTTGAATGCTCAAGCTAATACCAGCATTACTACTAATATTACACTTCTATAAAGCTTAGTACGAATATGCATAACACAAATACTAAGATTGATTAGTATTGCTCTTAGTACTCCTACGCATATCAATAACCATATTCATATTGATAATAATGTATAATAATACCAATACTAACACACACCTGTATGTACTAATGTACATAAACATGCATACCACCATATTAAAATACAAATCCTTTAACTCACTCATGAATTCAACTGTTAGAATTTCACGTGGTCAAGAGTAATAACAATACAAACATTCTTTCGAATGTATATCATCAATAATATGATAGTACTAACGCTAACACTACTGCTAATACTTAACACAAAATCTATACTAACATCAATATTTACATAGCTATTTATACTCCTACGAATACGAATACGTAAACCCTTGTGCGTTAACAGTAGTGCTATCACCAACACTAATACGGACTTTGATAATCTGCTGCATATTCAAGAATGCCACTAGTATTACCAGCATGAACACTCATATTATGGCTATTACGAGTATAAATAGTCCTACTTCTACTAGTATTGACATTAATACTCCTACGAATACCAATAGTATATTCATATTGATATGAAAACTAATACCATTACTAATAGACACCTGCATATACTCATGCACATAAAATACGTACCACTATCTTAAGATACAGATATATACATCAGTGCATTCGTGTATTACTGCTTTGGCATAGGCATATACCCATATACCAATGTATCAATATACTTCTAGTTGTTGTATGAATATACTATACGAATATGTGACTATAATCATATACGGCTACTGCACTATGCAAGAATACCGACATGACAAGTTCGTATACTAATATGCCAACATACTGATATACTTATACATGATTAGATAAAACAGTAATATAGTACACATATTCGTACACTAATATGCTAACGTACGAATATACTGGTATGTCAATATACTAGTAAGCTAATACAGCAGTATAGTAGTGTAGTCATGCACCAGTTGTACTAACATGTAAAATATACTAGTATACAAGTATGCAAATATTTTGCTGTCCGAATACATTGATGTATTGATATACTAATCTGCTAATATACGAGACTATCAATATACTAACATATCAAAACTAACTAGTTCTAATATTGATACTAATACTAGCACTTCTGCGAATATAAGCTGCTGTTAAACCCAGCATTAAGACTGATACTGATACTACTCGTAGCAGTGGTGCTGTATTACTGACATTGACACTGGCACTAGCGCTAACTCTAACACGAACATGAGCACTAACACTAATTTATAGTTGGCAATATTGATACGTATACTTACAGCAAGCAATAGTACTAATATTAATAACAATACTCACCCTAATACCGATACTACCACAAGACTATTACGTAACTCATGTGCCGCACGTCTGGTGCTATACTATATACCTCATGTAACGGTTTTGCTTCACAGAATATCGTTGTGCACGGTGTTTTTTAGACCCGTGGTCTGTCACCGGGGGGGGGTGAGCATATATATATATATATATATATATGTCGGTGTGTGATTCTCCAAGTATATTGTTACCAGTTCTTCAAACCCCTAATGTTGCCGAAGCCGCAGCCGCGAAGGCACTGCTTTGAAGAAGCCAGGTCTCGTGCTATTCCCAAGTCGCCGGCGAAGCTGAGCCTATCAGGTACTTCGACGTAACAACTTTAGACAAGCCTGCCAGTAGTATGATGCTGCAAGACCATGCCCTTACAGCCTGCATGAACCCTAAAGCCTAGAACCCTAAAAAGGGCATAGAACAATCTTGAAACCCCAAATACCAAAGTTAAAGTCCCGAAGCCCTCCCTGAACCCTAAAGCCTTTAAATCCTCTTAAGCCTGTCAATCCTGCAAAAGCCGTGGTGCTTCGGACCCTCCGGCTTGCGGCTGCAGGACTGGGCAGAGTTGCTTTGTAGTCCGAATTCGGGGTTTCAGACAAGCCGTTTTTTTAAGAGGGAATGAATGTAGGACTTTGGGTCAACATTAGGAGCCTTTTTCCTTGTGAAACTGTCATACAGCACCCGTCAACCCTGATCTGAAGGCTTGCTTCTTGGTGTCTTCGCAAAGACTGGCAATTCTTAGTTGGGGCATCCTTGCTTTTTATGGGTCTGCGCCAGGGGGAGAGGGGTTTCCTTGTTCAGTTTAGATCAGTTTTTACAATTTGGGGTAGCCGTGTGGCACGAGTCCACAGCACAGTCGGCGCCTCGGTTCCTGGCATATGCATAGTCCAAGTGTAAAAGAGGACAGTTTAGGGGTCAGACGGATTAAACGCATTGCGAGCTGCGGTGTAAGCAGGTTTGAATAAGCCTGAATGAGCCCCTAGGCCCAAAACCCTGACGACAGTAGCACTTACTTCGAGCCGTCTACATGGCTTTTTTGATTCAGGCTCAAACCCCTGCCACGCATTGCACTAAGGGAAACCGTGTTCAGGATCCCTTGGCAGCGCCACGTTTTCAGGTAAAGTCCTTGTTTCACAATAGGCTTAGGGGTTTTCTGCGCGAAACCCGAAACCCGAAACCCCTAAACCCTGAACGGTACCCTGAGCATACCGGGAGTCTCGGAAAGCAAGGCACCTCAACAGCGCGCTCGGGTTTCGGGCTCAATGTGGTACTTGCAGAACATAAGGTAGCGAAACATGGATCCCTAAATCGTAGAATCCTCATTATTAGGAGCACTTGGCCAGTAAAATCTGGAGAATTTCCGAAACCCTCACCTGAATTTGAGCGCAGCCCTTCGTTTACGGCCGCTTGTCCACACAATGACACGAGACGTCCCAGCAACACTAGATTCTCGAGCATAGACCGACAGATAAGTTTTTGCTTGCGGCGTTAGGGGTGACCGCAGGGTTTTTGCAGGTTTTTGCATGTTTTCAGGCTTCGGGAGGGGGGGGGTGGGGGGGGTGCTGCTGCTGCCTGCTGCCCTTTAGTGCTTCATGTTCAGACTACTACTGCTGCGGCCTCCTGCCTTTGGACTGTTGGACTCTTACTGGTTGGGTTGGGGGTGGTGGGGGGGATCGGGGGGGGGGCATAATAACGTCTCTGGGCCGTAACAACGGTCCCGACCTCTGGTCTGCCCTAGGAGCTTTGGCACAGAAAGCGAGCAAAGCGCGGTAAACAAGTCTCCAAGAGTTGCGTCAAGCCCTAAAGCTCGTAACAGCAACCACAGACTTCTGTGAAGCCTTCAAGCTCAAAACACCACGAAGAAGAGCAGCAACAACAACAACAAGAACGACCACCACCACCACCCACCACCCACCACCCACCACCCACCACCCACCACCCACCACCCACCACCCACCACCCACCACCCACCACCCACCACCCACCACCCACCACCCACCACCCCCCACCCCCCACCCCCCACCCCCCACCCACACCACCCACACCACCCACACCACCCACACCACCCACACCACCCACACCACCCACACCACCCACACCACCCACACCACCCACACCACCCACACCACCCACACCACCCACACCACCCACACCACCCACACCACCCACACCACCCACACCACCCACACCACCCACCACACACCCACACCACCCACACCACCCACACCACCCACACCACCCACACCACCCACACCACCCACACCACCCACACCACCCACCACCCACACCACCCACACCACCACCACCCACCCACCACCCCCACCCACCACACCACCACCCGCCACCCACCACCCACCACCCACCACCCACCACCCCCCACCACCCACCACCACCACCCCACCACCACCACCACCCACCACCACCACCCACCACCCACCACCCACCACCACCACCCACCACCCACCCCCCACCACCCACCACCACCACCACCACCACCACCCACCACCCACCACCCACCACCACCCGCCACCCGCCACCCACCACCA